TTCTCTTTTTGGCTGGTTTATTAATCACTGTTCCCTCCCTCCACCTTCTCCTGTTGTAATTAGTTTTTGTTGTCTTGGGGTTGCTTCCTTTAATTTTAGAGTGTGCTTCTTAAGTCAAGTTGAGTACAACTAAGATGTAAATGTGTTTGTGAGGGGATAAAACCAAACAGAACCGTTCTTGGGGGGGCCTCCTCATCTCTGTGATGCGTAAAATGAGTAACAGAATTCCTGACCATGGTGAAAACCACTCGATTCAAGGACCCGGAATGAAGTTGGCTGACTCAGTTTATGGCTGTGGCGCGGTGGTCTCCATTTCTTGTTGTAGTGCGCCACCTCCTGGTCCTAGCAAAGATTGCCACCAAGATAGTGGGACAGATTTTCTCCTGTTTATGTAAGTTTGACTTTTCCTGAAAATGTTAGTTACATCTCTGGACCACCAAGTGTGGAAGGCACTTTGGAGCCATTCTTTTCTGATTCTAAACCAGAAATCACTAACATAGTACTCATAACGAGTTCTGTCTGCTCTTAGATTTGAACATGGCGAGTATGGAATACTTTTTTAAATAGAGTTAAGCAGAAACTTGTTTGTATTAACGTGGCTTCTTTCTAAATTTGATTCCTTTCTATCTTACTTTCCCTCTTGTTTTTATACCAAATAATTGTAGAATGGAGAAATAAAAAAATTGGCACACCGATGTGCGTAAAGCCACACCCCACCCACAAAACGTTGTTAGTCAAGGATGCATCATTCCAGGTCTTTTCTGTTCCCTAACCGGTGGCCTTCACTAAAAGTATAGCAAAATCAGTCATTTTAGAAACTGTCCAGTTGGGAACCTGCTTTTGACACATGGGTGGACATTGTCATCTTTTGAGTTTTCTGCACAGACTTTATTTTTTAATCACCTAGTGATGTGTTCTTTTTTCCTTAGTGTGTTTATCATTCATATGTATTGTGGCTGTGAGGCATTATTTATTTGGAGAAGAGCTTCACAATTTCACAGTGACAGTTCTGTAATTCTGTTGGTCCTCCATGCATTAGCTGTGGTACTTCTCAGTTACAAATACCCTTTCGTGAGCAGTTTAGTTTCTGAGGTAAAGCTCTGAACAAATGAATGAAATAACAGCAAGCTTTGGTTTTGGTTTTCTAAATAAAAATGAGTCAGTTTTTTTAGGATCAGTGCTTTATATTAGATCTTCATCCTCTCTCTCAGCCTCATTACAGAATTTGCAAAGCTCTGTATTCCTTAAAGGCAGCTCTGGTGACTCAGTTCATACTGAGACGCTCCACTAACCCCTAGGCCGAGCCTCTCCGCGGTTCTAGCCGGCCATTGGCTCTGCGGGAGAAAGAGGGCCAGGCGCCTTCTGTGTGGTTATCTGCCCCACAAACCCTCACAAAGCTAAGTATGAGTCGGTTCCAACTCAGCAGCAAAGAAAGCATGAATGATTTCCTTACATGCAGATCAAAGATGAAAAATTAAAGAACATGGGTCAAAGCAACGACTTAAAAGTTATTTTAAGAAATATCATCACTCACTTTACCTGTCAAGTTGGAACCAACTCTCCGTTGACCTTCCAGTGAGTTTCCGGAAGCTGTAAACTGCCTAGGAAAAGATGGCTCCTCTTTCTCCTGTGGATTCAGCTGGTGGATTTGAACCGCCCACTTTTGGGTTGATGATAAAATTGACTACTAGGAGACTAGAGGTTAACATATCATTTGTTGCTAAGTGAATTCAGTCGTCTTGACTGAGTTAGAATTAGGTGTTAGAAGAAGACATTGGAAGGTGTTGGGCTTAACAAGAATTAGGGTTTGATGCTGGGTGGCTGGGTTTGATTATTGTGCCAGCCTGCTGTTGCTGGTAGCAGAGGACTCGAGGTAGCTAGTGTGCTCTGCAGTGATGCAGTTGTGATGTGCCAAGGCTCTTCTGTGGCTTCCTCAAGTACAGCTCAGCCTGGGATGTGTTTTACTTGCCCACCCAGGCCAGGTTGAGAGGGCACACAGGATGTCAGCAGCTGTCACCAAGGAAACTGAATTGAGTCTGAGTCTCTTCTTAGGAGAGGAGAGAAGGTTGACCTCAAGGTTGGGCATTGCTGCAGAGAGGCGGGGACCAGCTGTAGCATCCAAAATCAGAGCCCTCAAAGCTCAGTGCTGCGTATATGGCGTGCAGACCCAAAAGGAGAGTGATATATGTATACTGGCCAATAGAAATGACATAGATGGCAAGGCACTGACTAAGCTGATTTATTTTTCCATTTGGAATCTCACTGGGTGAAAACCTGCTCAAAGCAGGTCAGGGAGATAACGAACTCATTGTCCTGAGGCAGAACCAATTCTTTACCAACCCTGCAGCCAGATCACATCAGAGGAGATTGCCCATCTCTCTCCTTCAGAACAGCTGGTAGATTCGAACTATTCGATTGAGGGTAGACAGCGCAGCTCTCTCCACTAGGCTGCCACAGGTCCCCAGACCTGCTCAGAGCAGGTAAAGGATATCCTGCTGGCTTTTTTGTTTGTGAAGAGAGTTACTGCAGGCCAGAGCCCAGGCCAGGGTGTGGCCCTTATACAACCCAGAATGTGAGCTCTGTTATTTAGGATTTAGACCTAGTTCCTGCCAAGTGGTGTGGAGGGATCAGAATTGGGAGCAAATTCCGTTCAAGAGGCTGGTGGAGGTGAGTGGGTGGCTTGTTCCCAGGCCACATTGGCGTCAACAGCTCACACATCTTTTTGTCTCAGGTCGGCTATGGAACACTGGACAGCAGCTCTTCGAACTGTGTCCATCTGACCAGCTGTTAGGCCGGGAACTGGTTAATAATAGATCCCGAGGCAACAAAAGGGGTTTTCATCCTTCATTATGAAATCATCCCTTTTATTTTTGTTTTGTTTTGTGCTTGCTAGGAGGTTAGCTGCACCATTGATTGATTTGAGCAGCCTGATGTAAAATTGTGTTGGCTTGTTAGAATCTGTCCTGCAATACAGGGAAATAGAATTTTGAAGGCAGGGCTCTATGTTGAGCTATTAATACTCACACGTTTGTCATGAGACCCCAGAAGAGACACTGTGTTCCAAGAAGCAGCAAAGTATAGGAACATAGCATCACTGTTGTAATTGTATAATTGCATGTGAAGATATCTTCATATAACTCACAGAGCATGGACACAATAAATCACACAATTAGCATCGTGGGGGTGGGGAGTTAGGAACCTGAAATAACGAGCGAAGCCTCAAAGTGGGGTTTGCAGAGCCTTTTCAGGTAGATCTGAGTCTAGGGTGTGCTTACCTGATCAATCACCAAAACCAGGAATTTCTGGAAAGGCCTTTTCATTTCTAATCAAAGTGCTGAACACACAACCAAATTTGGTCAGTACACACCTCATGCAGGATTTTGAAGATCTGAGTCGTAACTAGGTAGTCATGCTGTAACTTGAGGAACACAGCTGAACATTGAACAGACAGAATATTTTGTCCCGTGAAGAAATAATTGGACTAGTATAGAACGTGGAGGAGAATGGAGGCTTGACAGTGGAACAGTAGTAGTACTGGGTTAAAGTAGATGTTTCTATACCAAAAGAAGCTAATAATACTCCTCATTCTGGAATACAAATGGTGAAAGTGGTGTTGTCCAAGGGAAGGTTCAACACCCGAGCAGGTATTCTTCCAAAGAAAAAATAGAAATGGTCAAGAATGGGGTGTGTGTGTGTGTGTTTAATTTGAGACAAGCAAATTGGCCATGTTTTAGAGGGTGTGCCCCCCCCACCCCCGCCCCAAGATAATATGGTAGAAAGTGGCTTAGTGGTCAGAAGCTGCATTGCCAATTCCAAGGCATGTGGTTCAAATCCCCCAGCTGCTCCATGGGAGAAAGATGGGCAGTCAAGTCCCATGCGATTTAGTGCCTCTGAAAACCTGCTTACTGGTCGGTCAGCTATGGGTCACTTTGAACTCCATGGTCCATAACAGTAGACATAAAAAGTGCAGGTAATTTTGCTGAATGAGCGTTTGCATTTGCTTTAACAATGGGCTCAGGTGTGGCCGAGTCAATGAGAGTGGACGGGACAGGACAGGGCAGGCTCCAGAGCCCTCATTCCTGGTCTTATGGTGAGTCGTAGTCAACTTGACTGCCTCTAACAAGAGCGCTTTGGAAAATGCACGTGCTTCTCACATACTAAGTCCCTTAAAGCAAAGTTATCCTAAAAACATAAAAGATGTGCAGCAGAATGAAGTAGAAAGAATACTCCTCCGTGTTGGTATTAGTAACTATTTAGAAGCAATCTGAATGCCTAGTGAAAATGGGATGAATCAACTTGTTCACACAACAGCACACTTAATGTCATGATACGGAGCCAGGCTTCTCAAAAAGGATGCACACCCTCATAATATTGTCAGATGGAAAAATACTCAAGGGTGGGAAGGGTTGACCCGGCGACTACAGAGGCGGGTTCGAGCTCATCAGAGATGGTGAGGCTGGCACGGGATTGGACGGGGCTCTGTTCTGTGTACATACGCGGTCGCTAGAAGTTCAAGCTCACCCCACAGCGCCAAACAACCGCTTCCCGTTTAGAAAGACGATTTGGAAAGATAAAAGCGACAATATTAATGATGGTGGTTCTAGGGGTGTTTTTTTTTTTACTAGTCGCCGTCCCCTCCCCCACGCCGCCCCCTCCCCTGACTTTCCTGCCGTGAACATAAGGAAAAAGGAAAGGTGTTTACCATTCATATGTAACATGAACTTCTATATTGAGTTGCACGGCAAGCTTAAGCAAGCTTTCCTGCTCAGAAGGGCCTGAACATGCCGTTCCAGAAGTGTCAGGGTGTATTCATTTGAGTTAGGAGTGCTGGTTGGTTCTCTGTGGCCGGGAAGCCTGGTTTGAGTGAAAGAGAACGGATTCCAGCCATTCTGGGGGAGGGGCTACAAGAGGGGAGCAAGGCTTGTTACACATTGTGATTTTCCTAATTTATGTCTAATGTGACCTTGAGATTTAGATGGACGCCTTGTTTTGTTTTCTAGGCTACACACCAGAGCACCTTAGAAAGTTTAACCAAAAGAATGCTCATGTTTGACCCAGTCCCTGTTAAGCAAGAGGCCATGGACCCCATCTCTGTGGTAAGTTGTGCAAAACTGAACAACTCTCCTTTGAACAAAAATATTGCTGGGCATTGTGTTATTCCTATGACTTTCTTTATAACTTTGACAGGGTGTTAGGTTGGGTGGGTTTGTTTTTTTGGTTTTTTGTTTTGTTTTGTTTTTTTAATTTTTCTATTGGTTTGCATACAAAATTCACATACATTGTGTTTCACACTTTGCTACGTTCACATTGTGTCTCCTACAATCATTCTCATACATTGTGCTTTATAAATTTAATCCCCATTGAATTGTGCCCACCATTAACCTCGTTTTTTTTCAGGTGCTCTTAGGATGTCTAATAGGCTTTTCACAGGCAAACTGTTGACGTTTTCAGGTATCAAGTGAGGTATATACAAAATTGTGCATCCTTTGAATGGAATTCAAGTTGAGGGTCAGTGACAAAGAGGAAGACCTTCAGCAAGATAGATTGAAACACTGCCAGCAACAGCTGAGCTTGTGAGGGTGGCACAGCTCTGAACATTATTTTGCTCTGTTGGATACAAGGCTACTGGGGGTCAGAGCTGACCAGATGACTCCCGACAGCAACAACAACGTATTTCCTTAAGATCCATGCCACACAATCCCTGATAGGATCAGCTCCGAATTTCGGCATCAGGAGAATCTGGCCGTGACAGAAGCAGGCTTACAAAAACTTTTATTCCATCTGGAGAGCTCTGGTGGCTTAGTGGTAAGAAGTTGCACTGCCAGCACAAAGGCCCATGGTTTGAATCTTCCAGCCACTTTGCTGGAGAACAATGGACAGTCTTCTCACATGTGATTTAGGGCCTTTGAAAACCTGCTGGAGGGTCAGCTATGAGTTGGTTCTGACTCAACAGAAGTATAAAAAATTTTTAAGGGCAAGATTATTTGCTTTAAAAATATTGACAGTACAACCATGAAAGAATGGAAATCAGTTTTCTGTAAACTTTCATTTAAAATAGCAATAACAAATTTAAAAAAAAGGCATTGACAACACCTAATGGAGCTGTGATGGAGAGATGGTCTGAAGAGAAATGAGTGAGGAAGAACTTGGCAGCACGAGTGCAATTTAGATTTGTTTGGAAGCATCAGGCTGGGCGGGAGTTATGTTCATTGTCTTTTCAGCACTTTCGGCCTCTCTCAAGCTCGGCTACACTAGATGCTGTCAGGCGACTAAGCGGCTAGTCATTATTCCAGGTTTAAGGAGGACCCGAGGGCTGTTATGCTGAGATGTCACGGACGGGCGAAGCAAGGAGTGGTTTCAGTGGAGAGGATCTGGTTTAGTAAATATTAAATAAAAACGGCAGCCTTCCCACTCTTGTCTCGTTTTCTCCTTCCATGGGCTTGGAAAATATTCAAGGGGAAGAACTTGGCCTGAGGTGTGTATCCGAAGGTTGGTAATGACGCGCTTTCAAAATCAGATCATTGCTGTGGATTGACTGTTCAGATTCCTGCTAAAAATGTTTAACCAAGACTCGAGGGTCACTCCAAGGCCCTTGGAACCAAGTAGTCATGGATATGATTACCCCATGGAAGTGCTTCCCTGAGTTAAATAAGAAAAGTTAAATAGGGAAAGAAGAGCTCTGATGGGTAAAGCATTTTGCTGCTGGCCCAAAGGCAGGCAGTTCAAATCCAGCAACTCCACAGGAGAACGAGAAGAAATCTCTATCTTGAAATGTACATTTTCTGAAAACCCTCTGGAAGATCAGACATGAGTTGGTGTGACTTGATGCAATGAGCTGACATAAACATAAAGAAGTAACATTTTATTGTCCAGCATGGAAGCTGGATAATTGAGTGTCTTAGAATGATAATAACAAATCAGAAAGAATTTTTTCATCCAAAACCAAAATTACTTTGTGATATCCTGTTCTGTGTTGTCCTGGTGCTCCCCACCCTGTGGTCCTCCCACCCTGTGCCTGCTCCAAACTGCTGTCTGATATGTTGGAGGCACACGAAGGTATTAATTTCCTCCAGTAATTATATCCTTAAAGGATGGGTAGGTTTTTAGGACTGGAGACCAGGATTGATTTTCTAAACAGTGCAGAACTGTCACCTGTGTGCCACCACGCTGTCCTCTTCTGCCTCCAGGGCTTTTACACAAGCATGAAAATGTGACTCAAGAACCCAGTTTAAAGCTAAGATGAAGAACCACATTGCCAAATTGGTAATGATAATTAAGCACAAGAAAATGCACTTCACTGAGGGAAAAATGGGAAATAAAATGAATTAAAGTAACTGTCATACTTGTAATGTTGTAATTTGTATTAATATTTGAAGCTAAAATAGGAAGAAATATTTTTACAAGTAATGACACTTTCCCCTTTTAATGATCCAGTTTTTAGCTTTAGCCAACATTGTTGGGATTTAGTTCATTTTATCACAAATTAGTATCAGTCCCTGCTGTGAAGTTTTGGGCTTTTCCACCTCCTTAATTTAACCACGAGGAGCTCTGGCCACCAAGTTTGCAGGGTGCTGTGCTGCTAATCCAAAGGCAGTGCTTCTCCAGTGGTTCAAATCGACCAGCTGCTTCAGGGAGAAAGATGGGCTGTGTCATTTACAGCCTCAGAAGCCCCCTGGAGGTTCCAACCCCATGGTAATGAGAGAATTGATTTAGCAAAATCTCAATAAATGGAAACATTTATTTGGGCAGGGGTTACTTAATTAAATGTAAAGATTTACTCTCCAATCTTAAATCCCTCTTGCCTTCAGTATCTTTGAGTCCTGTATATTTGATACTGTGTGTTTGAACCTAGTTTATTATGCTTTAGTCTTTTAATTGGTCTCTGGCTCTCAAAGTCAGTGTTGCTAAGCAAGGAGACAGGATGGGGCACTTGTAAAAGGTTTTTGTTTAATTCCCCATGTGAACAAAATATTGACTTTCCCCTTCCTCCTTGCAAGAGCTCAAATACAGCTTATTTGGTATTTTGCTGTTATTTAGAGAACGTGAAGTGACATCTCTTACTGAAATAGTAAACATTCCATAACTATACCATTCTCTGCTAAGCCATGTCACTGAAAGCAGATGGTAGTGCTCTGGGGTCCCATGTTAAAGTTTGTAAGAATAGAGAACAAGATAGACACCCTCTTCTTAAATCTAGGAATTTCTAGATAGTACACATGGCTAGCAGTGCTAACCAAAAGGTTATGCTAATCAAAAGGTTGGTGGTTCAGGTCTACCCAGGGGTACCTTGGAAGAAAGGCCTGGCAACCTGCATCTGAAAAACCAGCCATTATAGAGTACTCTGCTGACTCACACGAGGTTGCCATGGGTCCGAATGGAATCTGTAGCACCTGGCATCTGGAGGTCCCAGACTTGCTTCTGGGATCCCGTCTGGTAACTAGTTACAGGATGACAACAAAATTATCCCTAGTTCCTTCTACCTATCCACATATGAAGGGTTTTCCCTTATAAAATTGCACAGCATGTATACATAACACATACACATAAAGAAATTGTTTTTATCAACACATTCCCAAAGAAAGTTGCAAGTTAAAGGATGTCATTCATGAGGGAACAAGATATTCCTTATCTATTCCTTCAGGGTGATTGGCTTTGGAGAAAGGGCATTCTCTTTCTTTTCTCTCTCTTTTAAATGAAAATTGCCACCTTACAGATTCCTAACAGATGGGGAAATATTTCAAATCAGTAGTTGCTCTGTTCTGCTTTGCTCTGGCAAAAACTTGTCAGGACATTTGTAAGTCCAGTAGAAAGAGTGCTTTCTGCTTTTGTTTGTGTAGAGGGGCATGGCATTGGCTGCTTCCACAGTGCCTGCTTCTAAAGGAACCCCACCCTTCTGGAAGATTGCCTTGCCTGGCCATCGCCCTGTCCCAGATGTTCATTTTTTTTTTTTAAATTTTTTTTTCACATTAATGAAGAATGACTGCATACATATTTTACACAGTCACTGCACCAAGTCTAGCTGCTTGTAATGGAAAACTCATTCAAACTAATTCCTTTTTAAAAAAACCAAGCTATTGCAGTTCTCCTTTTAGTATCAAGTAATAGCTGGAGTTTTCAGAAATTATCCAAACTCTGCCGTTTTTCCCTTTCACAAACGAAAGCATCGGTTACACCTTCAGCCTTGTCAGTCGTAAAACGTTGCTGAAAATGTGTATTGCTTCTTTGCCTTCCTTCATTAAGTATTTACCAAGACCTGCTACCCAGCACTCAGCTGAGATTCCGTGAGAGGAATCAGTGAGTAAAGAGTGTGGAGGTGTGAATGATTGAGCTTTGTCCCCATTGAAGGAAAGACACCTTGTAATAACTGTTCTTTATGGGAACTAAAGCCTTCTGCTATCCTTAGTGAGGGCTTCTTGGGTGGTAGTACTTGGCTAAATTGCTTGACTGCTAACGGAAAGGTTGACAGTTTGAATATGTGCAAAGGCATCACGGAAGAAAGGCCTGGCAGTCTGCTTCCCCCGGAAGCCATATGCACCAGGAATACTGGATGTCCTTGAGTGGCTTCCTGATGGAGGCCATCAAGCCAGTTTCGACTCATTGCAGTTCTGTGTGACAGTAGAGTGGCCCCTTAGGGATTCCAGTAAGTACCATAATCTTTGCAGTAGTAGACCTCCAGATCTTTGTCCTGTGGAGCTGCTGGGTGGATTTGAACCCCCAACATTTGTATTAGTGCTCAACTACCATACCTTCCATCAATGGCAGAAGTGCCAACTATGCTTTTGGTTGGGCTCTGGGCTGGTGCTGCCACACTAATTTGCTCTATTTTGTGAGAAGTTAGACATGGTCTGAAACAGCAAAGTGGCTATTACCAGGGTGTGCCCACCTCTCAGACACACCCAGGAACCCTTTATCAGTCCCTGCAGTGTGGAAAACCGGATTATTGCAGGCTAATTGCAGCAGCCTGAGCCTCCACCCCAGTAATTAAAGTCACTATGTCTTATGTAAGGTTCTGGCAGCCATTGCTGTGAATTTTGCTAACGAGAGGGATTGGAGGATCAATTTTGTTTACCCGTTGGTGAAGCAATCTGACTGGAAATAGTTAATTATGCATCCAGGGCTGTATCTATCTAATGGATCTCCTACATTTAGCCCCATAGCCTTACCATGACAAAGCTTCATCTATCCTTTATAATCTTTTAACTTTCTCTTTCTTCATGGCTTGAGAAATTTGAGCATATTCTTTCATTTCTAATTGCATCCCTCCGGTTCTTTATAGTTTTCTTAAATTTTTCCTGTGGAAACACTAATAATAATAATAAATGCACATCGTGTTAATTTTGTTTTCTCATCTAACAAAAAGTGTTGCCATTAAAATCCAGGTCATTGGGAAGGGAGGGAGGGGGTAAAATGTGCAACAATGAATGAATGAAAAATCTAACTTTTTTGCAAACTTTTGTGAAGACCATACTCACCTAGCAGTTTTCTGCACATAGACATGTTGGTGGGTTGGTTTTAAAAAAATGATTAAGGAGTAAAAGTTGTTTTAATGAGTCTCCTAGCTAAAAGACAGTTAGTATCGACATGTGATGGCATGGGTGAAATGATAATGGTGGATTCTGAGAGTTGGATCATCCTGTTACTAAAGAAAGAAAGGCATCGGGAGATAAATTAGGTCAGTTATGGAACAGAGCTTGGGTTTGGGAAGAAATTGAACAGCCTTGATTTACCCAGGACTGGAGACTTGGCCAGAATGTGGGAGACCAGGAGAGTTCTGGGAATACAGGGCTCTGTCACCCCAGGCATGTGGTCATTTAGCACTGACAGCCTATCAAAAGGTACCATCATCACACAGCCTGTTTTTCCATAGGATATATGAGGGTATTGTCAGAAATGTTAAAAGCCGTGCTGAAGTTAAAGATGCTAAAGCTGTCATGTTATTTCCTGCCTGTCTATCTGAAAAGCAGAGAGGTTAGTTTGTCTTGGCAGGTTCCTGGAGAACCGCACTATTAAATCTTACTGATGATAACCAAGGTGTTTCTTAGAGATAAGTGTTCATCTCACATACTTATGGGAGGTGGGGGGCAGTCCTTGGGAGAAAGACAACATGCTGCGAAGTACGGAGGGTCAGAAAGAGGAAGTCCCTCAACAAGATGTATTGACACAGTGACTGTAGAATGTGCCTGTGCATGGGATAGAGGATGAGGATGGTACAGGAGGGGACACGGTTCAGCTCTGACCCTATGTTCATAGGGTTACTGTAGTTAACAGTCATCTCAAGGGCACTTAACAATATTTTTTTTCCTCCCACAAAGATGCATAAGCTTTTGTGTGGGATTTTTTTTCTCGTGTGTGTGTGTGTGTGTGTGTGTGTGTACCATCAGTCTGACTGGATCTGACTGGTACAGGAGGAGATTCAGGATTCAGACCGCTCACCTCTGGGATTGCAGTGCAGCTTCTTGCCACTAGGCCACCAGAGCTCATCAAGATGCATAAGCTTTTTATTTTATAGTTTGTCTTGGAATGTTTCCAGATAGCATCCTCAATACTAAAATGGACTTAACCTAGAATGAATGATGTTTCTTTCAGGTTTTCCATGTGAAGTGGTAACCACCTTTTGCACCTGAGTCAGTTCCAGTTCATGGCAACTCCATGTACTTACTTCAGAGTAGAACTGGGCACCATGGCGTTGCCACTAGTCCGTTTTGGGGGAACTAGGTCACCAGGACTTTCTTCCAAGGCACCTCTTGGTGGATTCAAGCCATCACCCTTTTATTTAGCAGTGAAGTGGGCTAAAATCATTTGCCACCACCCAGTTGTTAGATGTTGCCAGGTCGAGTATGACTCATGGAGACCCTCTGAATAACAGCTCTGAATTCTTCCCTATCCTGTGCCGCCCTCATCCATCTCTGACACACCTGAGCCCATTGCTTCAGAAAAATCAAAGAATACAGCTTTCAATATGGATTGCATCTCCATGTGAAGAAAACAAAAATTCTTACTGCTGGACCAATGGGCAACATCATTATAGATGGAGAAAAGATGGAAACTGTCAACAACTTCATCTTACTTGGATCCATAATAAACACCCGTCGTACCAGCAGTCAGGAAAACGGGATGTATTGCACTGGGAAAGTGTGCGGTCAGGGACCTCTCCAAATTATTGAGGAGCAGTGATGTGAGTTTAACGATGAAAACTGTACCACCCAACAACTTCTTTTATTTATCATATTTACTAGGCCAGTATTCTGGTGCATTTTGGAGGGCCAAGTGAATAATAACTAAATCAAATTTAAAAACCTAATTGAAGTTCTTTGTTGTATTTGTGCTTTAAGTACCTGTACCAATTTAACCTGTTGATGCCCTTCTTTTTTTCCCCTCCTTTCCAACAGTCCTACCCATCAAATTACATGGACCCCATGAAGCCTAACAAGTATGGAGTCATCTACTCTGCCCCTTTACCAGATAAGTTCTTCCAGAACACAGAAGGCCTGTCCCACGGGATACAGATGGAGCCGGTGGACCTCACGGTGAACAAGCGGAGCTCACCACCCTCAGCTGGGAACTCCCCTTCCTCCCTGAAATTCCAGTCCTCGCTCCGGAGAACCTCGCCAGGCCTCAGCATGCCTTCCTCCAGCCCCCCTATGAAAAAGTACTCGCCCCCACCTGCCGGAGTGCAGCCCTTCGGGGTGCCACTGTCCATGCCCCCAGTCATGGCTGCAGCGCTCTCCAGGCACGGGATCCGCAGCCCGGGAATACTACCCGTCATCCAGCCCGTCGTGGTGCAGCCCGTCCCATTTATGTACACGAGCCACCTCCAGCAGCCACTCATGGTCTCCTTGTCTGAGGAGATGGACAATTCCAATAGCAGCATGCAAGGTAAACACCATCAAGGGCTGGATCTGAAGTGCCCACCAGCTAATCAGGGGGAGGCAGAGCTCCATGGAGCCCCTCAAAGGAAATGCTCCTCTTAGGCTTGCCCTTAAGTAAAGCATTTCCTTTGTAAAGATCTCCCATGAACCAGGCTCTGTTTAACACTAAAAAATGATGACTTTCAGTCTTAGATCATCAAATTTGGTTAGTAAATCTCGTTTATCAAATGCAACATGAATCAAGAGGCAAAAGGACATTTAAAGAATCCCTTTTGATGCCTCAGGGAGCCCTCATGACATAGCACAGCACATTGGGAATTGCAGTGTTAATTGGAAGGTCAGTGGTTTGAATATACTGGCCTCTCCTGAGGAAGAAGATGGACAGTCTTCTCCTATAAAGATTTACCGCCTTGGAAATGTAATGGTGTTTAGAATTGTCTCAAAGGCGGCTGGTTTGGGTTTCTGATCAGCTATTGATGATAACTGATGATTTTTAGGAGCCAATGATGATTTTACTCGCTGGTCATAGGGCCATGGGATTGAAAGATCATACCCCAAAATCATAGGACTCATGGGGACTGCCTTTTAAGCCCCAATGTATGCTGACAATGTAATGGTCATAAGAATTCGCCCCTAGATTTCATTTCTCCCAAAACTTTTGCCAAAGGCAAGTAAATATTCACCCTTCACAGTGTTCTGTGTAATGTTGGAGAATTATACACATAGCGTGACTTTTTTGTTTTTGTTTTTTAGTACCTGTAATTGAATCATATGAGAAGCCTATATTACAGAAAGCAATTAAAATAGAGCCTGGGATCGAGCCTCAGAGGACAGATTACTATCCTGAAGAAATGTCACCCCCCTTAATGAACTCAGTGTCCCCCCCGCAAGCATTGTTGCAAGAGTAAGTATACTGCGATACCTGGTGTTCACGTCATAGCTTGCATCTCAGAGTCTGTAATTAGAAGCACAGACTTCAGAGTACCCGGTGGTGGGATGGAGTTTGCCAGGAGCTCAGTGTCGTAGGGGGCAGCCACTTGGCAATGGCCGTTCGTCAGGGTGGAAGATTCTTGAAACATGTCGTGTTCTCCATGTAACACACATGTTATAACCACAGTTACAGCAAAGTTTTGGTCAAAAAGTCAATGCGTGCTTTTGCTCCCTGGTCACATGCATCATTTGTAGTGTGTGTGTGTTGAGGCTGTTTCTGTGCATAATTGTCACCCTAACATGGGGACATTTGGTGTTCCAGATACTCTGTAAGACTTTCCATGTGCTGGACCCATGTTGTCTTTTAGTTGTTACTCCTGATGAGTATGCTTTTCTTTGTTAATAGGGTGTGTCTTTAATCAGAGTTCTCAGGTCAGCCACAAGAGAGACACTCTGAAACAAGCCCTATAAACAGTGGTGGCAGCAGAAAGTTGTCTGTGTATTTCCAGGTGGCTCCATGTAGAAAGAGCTCTAGTCTCTGGTCCTTTTTGTGCCATCTCCCTGTTACAGAGTCCTGTCCATAGGACTGTCCAGTAGGAAATTTGTGCTGCCTGGGTGAATATTATTAGAGCCCCTTGGAGTAGATAAAAGTTGTGGGAGGTAAGCACAAAATAAACAACTGGATTTGGTTTTTTACTGGATTTACCACTCTAGATATTCTTGCCTTGCCAGCGATAAGATAATACACAGGAGGCTGTTGTAGTAGATAAGAAGATTTGGGATCTTGAATTTCAATTCAGTGTGTGTGTGTGTGTGTGTGTGTGTGTGTGTGTGTGTAATCTTGCTACTTCATTGTTCTCTTGTTTATTGTCAGTTGTCATTATTTTTATGATTGTTCTTGTCATTGTCTTGTGTTGCGGTGCTTTCGACCTTGAATTCAGTGGCCAGTTTCTTGGTACAGAAGCAACAGTTACTGTCCCCATAGCGTCCCTTCCTTCATCTTCCTTCCACACCCCCTTTTCTCTATTTAATGTTCTATCCTTCTTTCTACGGAGTCTTCCCTCACCCTTTCCCTTAAACAATTTACTTTGCGACAGAACTTGCATGCCCAAGTTTTAGAGTTCTTTAAACGTGTTCTGGATGCATCCACATTCAGTTCCCATGTATAGGTAGGCGCCTTCACTGTGGATAAGCAGTCCATTGCATCAAATCCTAATTTCATCTACTTATTGTCTTAATTATCTAGTGCTGCTATTACAGAAATGCTGTAAGTTGATAGCTTTAATTTAAGGGGGGGAAAAAGGTATTTTCTTACACTTTATGAAGCTAGCAGTCCAAATTTGGGGTTTCAGCTCAAGGGGAAGACTTTCCCTCTTTGTTGGCTTTTAGAGCAAAGTCCAGTCTCTTTTGAGCTACAGTTCCTGGGCAGACTTCCTCTGACCTGGCGTCTCTTGCTCTGTCTCTGCTTGCTGTGCTTGGTTTTTTAAAATATCTCTTAATATGTTTTAACAGAAATTGACTCAAAAACAAGCACCCTCCTAATCCTGCTTTATTAACATGACACAGGCACCCCATTCCCAAATGAGATGATAAGTAACCACAGGCATAGAAGTTAGGGTTTCTTCAAGAGACACACATCAGTCCCAAGTAGTTGTCTACATATACTCCCTGGTGGGTCAGGGAGAATGAATCTTTCTCACTCTCACTCCGATGCAGTTACACAGTAGCACCCTTGGCAGGTATATTGTGTCCCCTTCCCTTTGTGGGAAGGGTAGAAACCCAGAAAACTTGTTTTCAAGTGAATGGTTTTATTCCTTATACCAGGCATGGGAAGCCGTGAGCTAAAACATTAAGTAGCTGTCCTGTCACCACACTCGGTGACATGATTGGCTGAGTGCTGGGATACTAAGAGGGCTGTGGTTCAGAGCCACGTTGGAAGAAAGGCTTGGCTACTTCCAAAAGATTCCAGCCCTCGAAAACCCTGTGGAATTCTCCTCTGGCATAATTGGGGTTACCATGAGTCAGAATCAACTCAGTGGCAACTGGTTGGGTTTTGTTGTTTAATCACATGGTGAGCAAGGGTGAGGGACCGAGGTTTGATCGCTGGCTCTTCCTGTCATCCCGTCCCTATCTGCCTTATTGCATTTATGCTCCTGTAGTCACTTGGGCAGAAGGCTAAACAATACAACTAGACATGAACTCTTTAGATGAAATTACCTCTTTTTTAAAAAAAAATGATGCAAGACATCTTTTCTCCAGTAAACTTAATGTACAGCCTGGCTTGCACTGGTAATAGCCTCTGCACTGTTTGATGGATAAGCTTCTCTAAAACACAGTAGTGCCAGCTGCCCACCTAGGGACCTGGTGGCTGCAAACAGGTTATTCCAAAGCCCAGGTTACTAGGAATTACAGTGTGAGATGAAACCCGTGGATATTTGAAGCCAGTAATCTGTGGAGTGCTGCTGGGAAGGAAATACTTTTTCCAGTTTTACTAAAATTCAACCTCTTAATGATCTCACGCTTTTATGGCTTTTAATGATTAATGAGATATAGGCTTATTTGAAGGCTGACTGAAGAATGCATTTTGCTCCTCAAAATATTCAGCAGGTTAGCCACAACTGGGCCATGCACTCTTTTAAGTAATTCTCCCCCAGATGTGATTAAGTAATGTCTTGGAGGGCACCCAGTTGCAGCCCACATAGGAAACCAGCTCGCCAGGAAAGAATCACTTGAAACCAAGCGCCTAGTACCATTGCGATGAGGCAGCCCCGAGAATATTTGCCTTAGGAAATTCTTCCTTTCAAGGCAGACTCTAAAATACGCCTTTGCAATCCATTTGCAGAGTTCCAGTTTTAGAAGGATTGTTAAAGGTACTCAACCATATGCCAGCTTCCTTTTTTGTTGTACTGTGTATTTGCATAGGTGAAAATGGTATTCATACAGAAAACTTGAATGTGTACTTCCACGCTGAATTGTGTAGCAGACTGAAGAGGGTTCAGCTTAGCCATCAAACAGTGACCCGGTTTTTTGTTTTTGAAAGTTGTGACTTTTGGGCCATAATGATTTCAAGCAACGCCTAAAAAAGAGGAGACCTTAAAAGGATGAGGTCCCAAGACCTGCCTCTTCAGTTGCAGCTGGTAGCCAAGCCAGGTTCTTTGGAAATGGGGCTACTGGCCCCTCTTAAGAAGGTGATGACATTTTTGAGATGGACATGAACTTGAGTAGGCATTTCCTGAACAGGTTTGGGGGCATCCCCAAAAGACATTGATGTTAAACAACTCTATTGTGCTGAGCCTCCAAATATATAAGGAATTTCCGAACCTTGGAGTACTATTGTGGGTGGTATGTGCCCTCGAGCCAACAACTCCTAACAGCTCTCTGTGAACAATAGCTCTGACCCGTGTGCATCTTGAGCCCGTCTCGCTGTCATTCCTGCCCCTGTTGCCACAGTGACTGTATCAATCCATCTCTTCCAGGGTCTTCCTCTCCTGGCAGCTTTGTACTCAAACTTATTGCCATTGAGTTAGAACCAACTCACAGCTGACCAACTTTGAAGTTTTTCAGAGGCTGTAAATTGCATAGGAGGAGAGCGCCCATCTTCCTCCCATGGAGCAGGATTTGAAGCTCCTGCCTTTGAATTGGCAGTGTAACTCCCCACTTTGTTACCACCACCACCCACCCAGTACAGATAATTGTTCTAAGTGGCTTGTGCACTTCAGTCCTCTGAGATAATGTTATCACCTCTCTCATTTTATAGAAAGGAAACTGAGGCACCAAAGGGGTTAGTGCTTTGCCCAGGCCCCCTGAGGGGAGCAGTCAGTAACAAGGCTGGGTTTTAAAGTCAAAGTACATTGTCTTTCCTCTATATAAAGAAGGAAACCCTGTCACAGATTCCCAATACTTAAAACCTTTCAGTTGGCAGCGCCTCTGATGGTTCAAATCTATCCGCAGCTCCACAGAAGAAAACTAGGCAATCTCCTGTGTGATTTAAAGCCTCCTGAAAGCCCATAGGAGGAACTAGGAGTTGGTTCTAACTCAAGGGCAATGAGTCTGAGCTTTTGAATAGTGGCAAGAAGCTACACTGCAATCCCAAAGGCACGCGGTTTGAGTCTCCGTGGGAGAAGGATGAGTAATCTCCTTCCAGGCAATTAACCGCCTCTGAAAACTGACGGCTGTGGGTCAGTTCCTACTGTATGGTAAACAACAACAAAAGTCATCTGCGGTGAATGACCCTTCCACTTCATGTTCCAACAGAACAGTAGATAGTTAACCACTCAAACTCTCCCCCTCATCTTTTCATCCCCCAAAGTTCCTTTTTTTTTAAATTCTTTTGAAGAACTTGAACCTTTTTCATTAAGTAGCATTAAAGTTCAAAGGTTAAAATTCACTAGTTACATTTTTTTTCTTTTTAGTGAAGGATTTAAAATTAATAATTTGGCTTTGCAAAAGCCCCCCCCCTTTTCTGCTTTCTCCGATCCTTGCCTATACATAATCTGTAATTTAAATTCTTGCTATTTTTTTTTTGCCTTTTCCTCCCCTCACTTTCTCATGTTCCCTTTTCCACATATCTGAACTTGGCTGTTCCATTCTGGGCAAGAAGGCAATATGATACTCAGGACAGTTTTAATTGCTAATAATGAAAGTGCAAGAAAGAAGTAAAGTACCTTAAAATAAAGATGTCTTCTATTTTCTTAACAATAGCATGTGTAATTAGCATAAGTGCTATTGATAAGGCATTTGTTTCTAATTTTTTTACCAAGACCAAAACCAAGTTTCATTTCATCAACTCCTTTTGATTTTTATCCCTGAATTTTATTATTCTTATATCCCAAAGGCTTGGGTGCTTACCCTCATCAAACATTTCTCCTCTTGACCCCTTTTGACCCACCTTTTCCCTTTATGCAAATAATTTATGTGTTGTTCTGGTACCTTAGTGATAAGGAGTTGCTCTTCCAACCAAAAGGCAGGCAGTTCAAGTGGCCCTGAGGGAGATAGATGGGCAATCTCCTCCTGTGTGATTTACAGCCTCTGAAAACCCTCTCAGTTCCAACTCAGTGGCACAGAACAACAACATGTGATTGCACTAGCCAGATGCGGCGATTTGAAATTTAAAAGGAAAGAGAAGTTTCCATTGAAGCTTGGCCAAACTCATAAGCTTCCAGTCTATCAAGCAATTGATCAGAGGAAAGAAAGGGATCAGATGAACCTTGAGAAAACATGGCAGGCTTCTCCAAGTTGCCTCCTGTCCCCTCCACCTTCTTTTCCGAAAAGGACTGTTCACAGTAATGATGCTTTTTTACATGACTTGATTTCAAGCCCACCCCGAAAGGCATGCAGACTTGGGAATGTGAGTCTGTCAGAACAAGCAGGAGCCTGGTTTCCTGAGGGCACCTTCTTCCCTCAAGAAGGCAACAGGGATGAGGGCATCCTTAGCCCTCATCTCCCCAAGCTCAGGAGCGACCGTCCCATTGAAGGTTGGAGCTCAGGAAGACAGCATCGCCAGCTTTTCCATTGGTTAGAGCCAGCATGTGAGCATGAAATGAGAATTAGTGATCTTTCTTGAGAGATTTAAGCGAAATGTCACTTACATAAAGGATCAGCTGTAGCTAGATCCACCAGTGTGATTCCCTGACTCTGAAGAATGCCACCTTTTTACTTTTTATTCCCCCTCCCAAAAGAACACTAAGTGAAAATCAAGGCCAGCTCATGGGCAATCATCAGTGTTAAGCATTCAGCACTGCCTGCCTGCAACCAAAAATCCTATTGGTAGGCGAGTCCTTGTAGAGATTCTCCCCGCCCCTCATGCCTCTCCTAGCATAGCGCCTAACCCTTCTTGCTGTCATTACTTATCTCCATGTCTGTCTCCCCTAGAGTGTGAGCTCCTCAAGGGCAGGAACCCTGTTTTTATCCATCTTTGTGTCCCGGTGCCAAGCACAGTGCCTGGCTCATGGTAGGTGTTTGATCCATGTTTGTTGAATGAATATAGCAGTGCTTCTTGGGTTGATGAGCTAATTTCTTTTTGTTTCTTTTGTCGGGGTTGTTATTATTATTATTATCTTTCTGTTCATTTATTTGGCTTGGTTTGGTTTGGTTTTCGCCCAGTGTTGTTAATGCTTTGAAAGTGGACAGGAGGAAACGTAGGGAGAGTTTGGGACACGGAGTGTGATGGGCCACTTTGACTTTTGCAGGAATCACCCTTCTGTCATCGTCCAGCCGGGGAAGAGACCGCTACCCGTGGAGTCCCCAGACACGCAGAGGAAGCGGCGGATCCACAGATGTGACTATGACGGCTGCAACAAGGTGTACACCAAGAGCTCTCACTTGAAAGCCCACAGGCGAACACACACAGGTATAGGCTGCTAGGCTCTTGCTGTGTGTGTCCCTCTCATAGACCTGCGAGAATGGGGTGTGAAGAGTCTTAGTCATCTTTAGATGGGTCTGTCGATCTCAGGATGGGTTTCTTGATCATGACTTGCTTTTGTATTAAGTCCGAACAGATTCAAGGTTATGTGTGCAGCCAGTGTTGTCATAAATCACTCCTAGTTCTGTCCTCTCCCCAGGAAGGGAGGAAGGGGAAACTTTGGTGCTGGGCTGGTGCCCTCAAGAACATGACCTTTGAATGTGCTGTCATTTAACCAACATGGCATGGTCAGATTCACGCCAGCAGAGAAAAGTCCTTGGGGCAGGATGCAGTTGTTCAATAGGAATGGAATATGAAGACCAGAGAAAAGTTGAATTGCCTCTGAATTGGGGTGTTGGAGAAGAAGACTAAACATCCCACAGACTGGCAACTAAACTATCTTGAAAGAAATGCAACCAGCGGTCTCCTTAGAGGCAAGGAGTGTGAAACGTTATCTCCCATACTCTGGATGCATTGTTAGGAGGGGCCTGTCCCTGAGAAAAGACAGAATACTGGGCAAGATGGAGGGTCGGAGGGAGAGGAAGACCCTCTAAGAGACGGGCTGACACGGTGACTGTAACAGTGGCTTTGAGGATGGCAAAGGGATAGGGCAAGATTGAGTGTTGGTCCGAGGGTCACTGTGAGTTGAGCTGACTCAGGGGCACCTAATAACAATAGGAACAGAATCTAAATAAAATCGAATTAAATCAAACTCGCAGGTGCTTTCAAGTCAATTCGGACTCGTGGTCACCCCATTTGCTGGTCATGCTTGCCACCAAGTTTATTCTGACTCATTAATGACCCTCCCTGTGGAGAGTAGAACTTCTTCCATACACTTTTTCCATCTGTCATCTCATTATATTGTAAATCTCATTATAAAGAAAACAAAAGTCTCTGGGTGAATTTGCTGCAAAGGACTTCTTGAAAGTGTTAAAAAACAAAGATGTCACTTTGATGACTAAAGTACTCCTGACTCTAGTGCCCTAGTGGGTACGGAATTATGCGGCCAACCCAAAGGCAGGTGGTTTGAATACACCAGCCACTTCTGGGGACAAAGATGGGCACTCTCATAAGAGTTACAGTCTTTGAAAAGCCTCATCTTTGAGTTGATTCTGACTTGACAGCAATGAGTTGAGTTTTGAATTGTCATATGGATGTGAAAGCTGGACAGTGAATAAAGAAGGTGGAAGAAAAATTGATGTCTTTGAATTATGATGTTGGTGGAAAATACTGAACAAGGCCATGGACTGCAAGAAGAACAAACAACATGTCCTTTGGAGGCAGGAGTGGTGAGACTTCTCACATACTTTGAACATGCTAGTTAGAAGAGGCCCATCCTCCCTGGAGAAGGATGTCATGCTTGGTAAAGCAGAGGATGAGTGAGAAACAAGACCCTCTGCGGGATGTATTTACGCAGTGTCTGCCATACTGCACTCGAACAGCAGTCACTGTGAGGGGATGGAGTGGTAAGAGGCAGTGTTTTGTTCTCTTGTATGTGGGGCCTGTAGAAGTGACTTGATCACACCTGATGGCAACTCAGCATAGAGTTCACACTTAACCCTTTAGGAAGTGGCATTGGTAGTTTAGTGATAACCTTAAAAAAATCTCCCCCTCTTCTTCCCTTACCTTTTGGTCAGAATGCTAGTTAAATATTAATAATTGGGTTTTTCCCCCTCAGCATGTACTGTTGTTCTGTACCGTCACATCTGAACTGACCCATAGCCGACCTCCAGCGCATGAGAGGAGATTGTCCGTTTTTCTCCCACAGATCAGCTAGTAGATTCAAACCACATGCCTTTGGGATTGCAACTCCACTTTTTGCCACTAGGCCACCAGAGCTCCCTATCATGTACTGTAGTGGTTTATAAAAGCACAGTGATACTACATGTATACACATCGCATTGGCAGCACAACTCATTACCACTAAGCCACCAGAGCTCCCTATATTGGAACTGTTTTGTATTGGCAAAGAACTTTAAGAGGGAGCTCTGGTGGCTTAATGGTAATGATTTGTGCAGTCCTCCCAAAGGCGCATGGTTCAAATCCACCAGTTGCTCCACTGGCAAAAGACGAGGTCTCTCATCCCGTGCTGTGAGTCGGCTTGACTTAATGGAACGGAACAGCAGCAACAAAAGCTTTAACAACCAAAACCTTACTTTTACAGTCTTTACAGATAGACCATTAACACCTAATTTACTAAATTCATCCTTTTGGTTTCAGAAACATTAAGCATTGTGCTTTTCTCTTTTCACAGGAGAAAAACCCTACAAATGCACATGGGAAGGCTGCACGTGGAAGTTTGCTCGGTCTGATGAACTCACAAGACATTTCCGGAAACACACTGGAATCAAACCATTCCAGTGTCCAGACTGTGACCGCAGCTTCTCCCCCTCCGCCCCCCTCCACCTTGACTTCCACCACCCCCCACCTGTCTGATTGCTCGCTAGCCTGCCTGCTGCGTCTCCCCTCTCCGGGGTTTCTCCTCTTCTGTCTCTCTTCCCTTCTCTTTTTTTCTGTCTTTTTTCCCTGTATCTTTTACTTTTTTTTCATGTGGTTTTTATTTTTGATTTTGTTTGTTTGAATCTTTGCATTTGTTTCATTGTAGATTTTCTTTTGTTCTCCCTTTGCTTTTCTCTGGTCCTCCCTCTCGTTTGTGCGGGTTTTTTGTTTTGTTTTTTCTTGTTTTTTGTTTTGTTTTGTTTTGTTTCTTGGATGTTACGTTTACTGTTCTTACAGATACGTTTACTTTTCTGCTAACCTAGGGAATTTTTAGTTTCTCCTATGTATTTGTCAGTTTCTTGTCTGTGTTCCTGTATTGGATGTTCTGTTTCCTGTCTTCTAGTTTTTGCCAGAGACATTCACACCCATGTACCCCGTGATTGCATGGGGGGGTCCACGAGGAATAGAAGGGTAGACCCTTTCCAACACAATGAGGTCCACACTTCATCGTTCTCCACCAATCTTGCCCACCTGGGTTTCTCACTGCATCTAAACTGAGGTTTTGGCCCTCCATACATGGTCTCTGCCCCCGGTGGGAGAGGAACCAGAGCTGCTGGTGTAGATGGTGATGTGTATGTGTTCATCCACCTTGATTGATGGGCGGCACTGTGCTTCCACTGCACGAAGTGGGAAGTGGAAGTCACTGAGCAGGGGAGAAGCAGAGGAGAACAAAGGAAGGAGCTGACCCTTCCTCCTGGGCTTTAAGTTTTCAGTAAGGTGTCGTTGTGGGTAGTGCATTCCCAGAGAGCTTTGCTCCTTATTCCAACCTAATTGTGCAGCATGAAACCACGAAGCCAAATAGCAATGGGGTTATCTATTCATCTCCATTCCTACAGTGTCCTTAGTATGAGCTGAGAAGCATTGATAGAGATGACACATTTTTACCCAGTAATGGTAAACGAGTGGTGTTCCTTTTTCCCTAAGCTGCTTATGCCCTTTTTTGCAAACAAAGGTTGAGTGGTAGTTTATTACCATCATCAAATAAATCAGATCCTTTTTCTCCAGAAACTTCTGTGTGAGCTCTTCGGTGCCAAATTGGCTGTCAGTTGTGATACCATATATAAGCATTGACGAAGGTTTGTTAGTAGATTAATTCCATTTAAGGCCAGGGTGACACTGCTTGGGAGTGTTAACTAGTTTGGAAGCATACATCTCTATAATTGGGGGACAGCTTTGAGGGAGGGGGGAATAAAGAATGGAAACTTCAGGGATTACTAAATGTTGCTCAAAATTTTCCAAAAATTTACTTTGAGAAGAACAAAGTGAAGATACTGACTCAAGATCAGTAGCGGCACCATCCTTCTGGGAAAGGTTTTTCAAAAGCGGGCTTTTGAGTATGTACCATAATCCAGATGCCAGGAAAAAGCATTGATGCGCAGAGATGCCGTTGGTCCTAAAACAAGGAAAGTGCGCAATGGTGCAAAGAACCAAATGTCCTTCATCACTTGATTGAGGGTGGAGAAGGAGAGAGGAGAGTGGATTCCTGCAGATTTCATCCCAGCCAACACTCAGGGTCCAGCACCACTTGAGTGAGAGGAATGAGTTGTGTAATTGTGATTCTGGAGTCTTGTGGATGGTGTGGGGAGCTTTGGTGGTACTGTGCTAATAAAGGGTAGTTGTAGGGACTGCACACCGAAAATCTCCCTCCTCCGACCCCGTGAACCAACTGCAAGGAAATGATGTTGAGAAATGAAAAGCAATTTCTTCTCTTGGCTCTTGGGTTTGTTTTTGTCTTTCTTTAAGCGCAGCAAAATTGGCTTAGAATATTAAGAACGAATCGTCACTGAGCTATTTCTCTTTTTGGAACTGATGTGTTGGATTAGAAAAATAGCTCTTGGAAGTAGGTTTTGTATGTACTGTAAATGCTTACTCACATTCATGCCAAAGTGTCCATTTCTTGAGAATGGGCTCTTAGAACATACTAAAGAATTTATTAGGAGTATAAAGAACATCTTTGGATGATTTCACCAGCTTATACGTGTTCCAGCCCATGAAGAAGAAGATAAAAAGGCAAGAAAAGATAGAATTGGTGTTTGAATTAACTTGGAGTCCAACTAGTAGCCTTGTAGCCTTTTATGAAGTTGAATGTGTTTGCCATTTTTTATTTAAATTTTATCCAAAAGCACTAGTGAGGTCCTGCAATAGTGTCAAATTACTATTCACCTTGCTTGGAATATATCAACAGTTCAATAACAAAAATCCATTTTAACTTTTTAAAGGAAAAACAACCCAGAGTCCATTCTCAATTCCTGTGCTGTTCTGTGTACTTGAGTTACCAATTGGCCCTTATCAAATTTCCTTTATAAATATATATATATATATTTGTACTTTACTATGATAGTTGAGAACTTTTAGTCTCTTAGTCATTGTTAGCTGTGTGGAAGACCTCAAATACAGGATAATCTTAAAATGCCCTTCATGTGGTTTTCATAATGTGCCATTGTTGCTGTCAACAGTGATTTTTAATGCAATCTTTTAAAAATGATTTATAAACATGAAGTTAATGTCGTGGAAATTCTTTCTGCAGTAGAATTTCCTGGATTATTAACCAGGTGTCATTTTGGGAAAGAAATCAGAAAAAATAAATCAGAATCTGCCATAGTTTAGAATTTGAAAATGTGAATTTACATCGTAAGTGGGCATTAAGATTATAAATCCACTTGGAGAAAGTGCTAGCTACATTGGAATGTTCAGTTGCGGAGATGCTTAAATACACAGTTGTTTCAAGAGCCTTGGAACAGATTTGCAGAGAACTATAGATGTGTATGTATATTTTTTTAAAACACCCATCTGCACTATCAGTATTGCACTAACATGGAGTTTGAAAGACTATTGCTGGTACTGTATATGTGTACATCATTTCCAATTAGATTGTTGTAAAGACAATCTCAGAAGAGCTATGGTTTGAAAATGTTTGGTTTGGAAATATACAGTGGTCTTGAAGGAATTCCTGTCATGCATGAATTTGCTGAGAGTTGTCTTGATTCTCTTGGTCAAGGTTAACAATTCTAAAGTGATTGGAAATTCACTTAATACATTTACAAAGCCATTTTACATGCATTAAATGAGGGCTACAAGAATATTATGTTTTACATATAATAGCACTTTTTTGTTTTGCTGTTATGTACTTAGTGTTAGAGGGTCAAAAATAATCTTTTCTGCTTAGCATCTCTTAAACCATACCTGCAAGTATAGCAGGATTACATTTACAGTACTTTAATACTTGTATAAACTATGCAGAAATTTTTAATAAAGTGTAATATATTTTATAAGCTAATAAGACTGAATGGGTAAAGGTTTTTAGCATGCATTAGTATATTTGCAAATACTGAAAACATTTTGGTAATCTTTCTTACTAAAGATGTGAATGTTTAATGTACCTTCTCTGTTTCTACTCTGTAGTCCAATGGGAATTCAGTAATGACATTTTGTCATGTCAAACTGTGAACATAAATTTGTACTGTACAGTCCTCATTATACTATATACAGTATGCAATATATGTATTATATACTTGTTAATAAAACCATCAGAATATTAAATGTGATCATGTGATTACTACATGTGCAATGATCACTTGCAGCAAAATGTAGAGAAAAAAGTGCTACTACAAAGTCTAGGCTTAGAAATGTGTAAGCTGGCAGACAGCCCTGTATTAAGATGTTAACTTCCTTGTCCATTTGTGGAAGAGTTTATTGTAAATGACCCCATAGGTTAATTGATGCCTTTGACCTGTGGTGTGGGAGAAGAGCATTGAATATAGCATGGACTGCTAAGAAAATGAACAGGTTTGTCCTGGAGAGGATTAAACCAGGCTGCTCCTTGGAGGCCAGGATTATGAGGCTTCATCTGACATACTTTGGACGTGTTGCAAGGAGGACCAGTCCTTGGAGAGGGACGTCATGCTTGGGAGGGTGGAGGGACAGCACAGGAGAGGAAGACTCTATGAGGTGGATTGATTTAGTGACTGGGGTAATGGGGGTAGGTGTGTCGGAGATGGTGAGATTGGCACAGAACAGAGCAGGGTTTAGGGTTGTATATAGGGTCGCTGTGAGTTCCAGATGACTCGACAGCACATAACAACAATATGACCCTATCTTTAAAAAAAAAAGTGGTACCTTTTGTATTAAAGACACCTGTGCATAATACTTTAAATGTTTAAAGAGCATAATATAGGTCAAGATCCATCATTTCGGGAGTAGAGAATCAGAAACAAGATAACAGCAATAAAGTTTTTTTCAGGTTGTAGTAAGCCATGTCTAGGGATGTGGCAGTGTGCTTGTGCCCTCTTTCACCTTGCTGAAGACTACCTGCTTGCCATCCTCTCATTCTGCCTTAGCAATACAGATAATAAAACAGGGAATGACTTGTTTGGGGCCCAGCATTTGCCATAGACAGAATGCCACGACCTGTGTGCTTCGGTGTGAAGTTCTCATCATCAAACTTCTCTCCCTGTCAATGGACTTGCCACCACTACCGTCAGGGCGTGAGAAGTCACCACCCTGGCACATAAACCAAGGAATGATTCTGTGAAAACAGAAACTTAAAACGAAATCCTTTCCAATTCTCAGAGCACGGAAGTTTTCCACTCATTGACTTCAGGACTTTATCTGCAAACAGCTTAGAGAAGTGCGGCTCCAGGGTTCAGTGTACATAGAGTTGTGGAAATAAACAGTGAGGTTGACCATGACTGGGGGAGAATGGAGTACACGAGACTGCTGACTGAGGTGGGGACATCTGCGAAGCCTCATTTAAGTTTTAAAATCAGTTGGTCAATATCTTTAAAAATACAAAACTCATGAGACTGAGATTGCATTGAATTTGTTGGCCAATTTAAGATAATTGACCAAATCGAGTCTGCCCATACAAGAACACAAGGTTCCATCTGTCCAAGTCTTTGACTTCAAGTTGTAATGTGCCGTCGAGTTGCTTGTGACTC